AGAAGGCAGTGAATGTCCATTCCTTACCCTCCTCACCATGGACCAAGGATCTGTAGTTCATTAGTACTGGTTGTTTGCTTTAGGGTTTTGTTTTGTTGTTTTTGAGACAGGCTCTCATACAGCACAGGTTGGCCCTTGAACTCAATATATGTATAGTCAAAAAATGGCCTCAAACTCCTGATTTTCTTGCCTCCACCTCCCAGAATGCTGGGATTTTATGTGTACACCACCATGTCTGGTGTATGTGGTACTGGGGATCAAACCCAGGGCCTCATGCATGCAAGCAAGCACTCTACCAACCAAGATACATCTCCAATCCTCCCTCTTTTAAAAATTATTCTGACAATTTCAGACTTGCGTTTAATGCATTCTCATTACTCTCACCCCTACACTATCCCAGTCAGCCCTTGCTCCCTCCCATCGTTTCCACGTTCACATCTTGTTTTGTGACCCACTGAGTTTAGCTGGGGCTTTGTCACCCCATGGGTGTGGAACTATCCACTGGAGCCTGATAGGCACACAGCTGAACACAATGACTTCCCCAGGGAGGGGTAGGGCCCCATGTGGTATTTTGCTCTGTGATCCTGGATGGTTTTGCACTGTGTACACCAAGTTACCCTTGAATGCGCAGCAATCCTACCTCACCCTCCCAAATTCTGGGGTTAAATGTGTGCACAACCATGCCAGGTTACGGATTTTTTTTTTTGTCTTTTTGAGACAGGGTCTCCCTGTAGCCCCAGCTGTCCTGGAACTCACTATGTAGACCAGGCTGGCCTTGAACTCACAGAGATCCACCTGCCTCTGCGTCCCGAGCGCTGGGATTAAAGGCGTGCGCCACCAGGCCCGGCAGGTTAGGGATTTTTACATCTGGAAATTTCCTTAAAAGTCCACTGTATCTCATTACCCCAGTGATTAGAATTAACTTGGTATGGACTTCTTATTTTTGAGAACTAGCACTTGTAAGTCTGTGCTCATACGTTGTTGAGCTATTGGGTTTTAGTAAAAAGAAAACAAAAATCCTTCCAGTCAGAATACTGTCTTTCTTCAACTGTTTGATTAAACTGGCTAATGGATTTAGCCTGAGACTAACCCTGCTTAAGGTCTGTAAAACTCACAGCTCCAGCGTTGTCAGTCCTACAGCTCTTGAAGCTATCAAAGCAGAAATGGGGGCTGGGAGTAGAGCTTGTCTGTAGGGCACACACAGACCCTGGGTTCAAATCCAGCACCAAAAATTTTAACAAAACATAAGCAAATAAAAAGCTCTAATCCATTGCCACAACCTACTTTATATGTGATTCTTGAGCCATAAAAAGGTTGACAGCTGTGGACATTAGATTATTACTGAACATTATCTAATTTATAACACATATGATAATATAACGAGACATATCAGTTTGTATGCGAACGCTAATTTTTCAAGGTTATTGAGTTTTAAAGCCAAAGAGTTCAGGAAATATGCATCTTTTTTTGTTAGGAGGAATTACATCCTATTTGATCAAAAGTGGAAAGAGGTGTAAAAGGAAGCGATGCTCTGATACAGTGGAACCAGAGTGGTGGGGTTGGGCTGTCACCAGGCCAGGAAAGAAATAAGGCCCCCCATGAGCTTCTCATTTCCTTGGCAGGAAGCAGCCTGTGTGCAACAGGAGGGGATTCATTCATTTGGTCAGTTGTCTGTCACCTAGCTGTGGCCAAACTGAAAGTCTATGAGCTGTACCTAGTACTTAGAGGCTGAAATCCAAAAACTCATGTTCTCCCCTGCAGTCGGACGGAGGGCACGCAGAAAGAGACCAACACATGTTTAAGAGACCAGGGCCCTAGGAAATGAAATGCTAAGAGACAGTAGTTTTTCTATTTTTATAATGTTTTATATAATTCATAAAACAGTGCTTGTATAAAAATTCACACAAAGTTGCTAGAGAGCGTACAATTTCCAAAAATGTCCTGGGTTTTTGATACATTCAGTTTTCTAAGGATGCACTCAAATCAATGACAAAATGCAGACATGATGTAGTATTTCATTATCTTTGGTAAAACTATTCTCATTATTCAATCTCCTCACAGTAGTAACTCTGATATCCACTTTGTGCAGGGTCAGTCTGCTCTTACTAGGATGTCAGAAAAACATTAAGGCTGGATCTACCAGAGGCAAGGACATCAGCAGTGACAGCCCTGGGCCCTCACCCCCACTTCAGGAAAGCCCCCAAGCAGGAGTCTATAGGCCCTCTCAGTCAGGTAGGAAGCAAGTCTCCAGGGGAGACATGGAAACAGAAGCCACCTCTAAGGAACCCAAGTGGCTACACTGTGGTGTGGTCAGGCCAATCTGGTCACCACTAAGTAGATCCCATTGGTTGGTTGATGATTGCTGCTGATATCTCCAAAACTTAAAAGGAAAGGGAGGTCTGGTGCCCAACACTGAAGGGGAAAGGGCACTGAGAGCTAATGACACTAGACACTTTATTCCCTGTCAAACATTCCCTGTTCTCATACAGACACAGCCATGTGTACTAAAGCAGGATTTGAACACTGTACATTCACAACTACCTTCTTACATTCTTTAACAACTTACTAACAGAGAAAACCATGAGCACTACCACTTACTGTGACACACTAGTTTGCTTAATGTCAGAATGTGTCTGTGCTAATCTTCAGTCTCTGGATGCAAGGAAAAAAACAAACAAAACAGAAAAATCCCAAAACACAAGCAAAATCCAAAAAATTTAGACGGGTGACAAGGAAAGGAATTGTCAACAAATTTTTATGAAACACATTAAATTCTGAAAAAATAAGTATTTTGTACTTATATTGCTTCATGTAAAAAACAACATGCCCACTGGAGCCACCTGTATGGATGGGTAAGTGAGGACACCATACAGTCCAGGGGACAAGAATCAGCTCCCAGAGTGTGTCTATCTCTCCTCACTGAAAGGGACTATGGGGTTTGTGGGGAGAGAAGCCCTGCACAGGAAAAGTGTTAAGGAAACCAAAATATAGTTTCCCAACATTTAACAGGTTCTAGGTTACAAAGAGACATGTTTTATTCCTAGAAGCTGTCAATTCTTCTGATGTGACAGGACTTCTAAAAACTTAATAAAAGATTGTGCTTCTGACATTGTAAGGTCACATTCCACCCTTTAGAAAGCAGGACAATTTTCACATGGCTTGGAATCCTCTTGGATACATCCTCAACACCGGAACAAATTCCATGGGATCCTCCCCAACCAGTGGGACCAGTGGGAAAGTGCCACAGCCATCTTTGGGGTAGTGTGTGTGTGTGTGTGTGTGTGTGTGTGTGTGTGTGTGTTAGAGAGACTAAGGCATTAGAGAAAAGCTCAAGAGAGGAGGGTGGGGGGAAACTGAGTCTCCTGCCCCTAGCCCTTCTTTTTGGGCACAAAGAAGGTGAACTTGTTACTTATGGAGGTCCCCTCATTTCACGTAAAGTTTTTTTATTTAGTGAGGAGAAACTGTCTGTGCAGGTGTGAGAATGTGACACTGAATGCCACAGAGTCCCCGTGAAGTCCCCCACATGAATCACTGTGACCGTATTTCCACATCTACTTCACTTCCACTCCTCAACTCCAACAATTTAGATATGAAGATGCAGAATAATCTAAAAATGACAATGAACAGAAATTTTACATTTAAAAAAATTCTGTTATTTTTTTTAAATGCCCACTGGGTACAGGCAAAATTATGTCACATGGCTACTAGAACTTGACTTTATGAAGAAAATTCATAGCTTATTTCTATAATTTCTGCATATAAAGGTAGCAAAAATATTAAGCCACTAAGTTATGAAACCTGTAACCTCTCACAAGGGTTTTACCCTGGGTAATTCAATTATCTCCCAGATCTATGACAGGATAGATTTAGTTTGGCCTAGACTGTTGCCTTCCCATCTGGCCCCAGTGTAGAAGGGTAGGAAGAGATGTGCACCTTCATGCTAGGGATGGGCTTGATAGGACAGAACTACCTAGAAGGTCTCAGGGGAAAGGTCTAACGGGCTGGGAAGGGACATGGGAGTTCCATTTAAGATGACCTGTGTCCTTTCAATACCTGCAAAAGGGCCATGCCCAGGCCTCTCTGGAGGAACAAGGACATGATACTCATGAAAGGACCTAATATTGAGGTCTGGGAACTTGGACTCGGTACAAATACATGGAAAGTAAACAGTCCTTGGTGAACCCAAAAGAAGCCCACCCTTGTATCACACAAGAAGCCAGAGGTCCCTATACATTGTTTTCCAGCGTGTGTGCCCCTCCAACCAACATCTATGTATGGCGAGCGAATGGGGCTACGGAAGGACACAGCTCACATGAATCACTGTGGACCATGTTTCCAAATCTATCTACATTCATATCATCTTCTTCCAGTGTTCTCATCTACACAGTGAACACAATATTCAACCCACATGGCAGTGGCAGACAGGTTAAGCCACAAGTAAGCTTCCTGGGCACTACAGTAAGTAGAAGGGAATTGAATATGGTAAGAAAGAGCTCCACACTATGCCTATTCCAAGCCCTCTACTGCAACCCATGGAGTCTCTGAACTTGATCAGATGTCAAACACAAGATTAGTAAGACTAGTTGTTATGCTACTTGAAGCTGTCAAGTCTGAACATGGCATTTCTAAAAAAGTTCATCAACCTAAAATCATCTTTTTAAAAATCCCAGCAACTGAAGTCATCTTACAGTACCTCATTTCAAATATGTGTGTGTGTGTGTGTGTGTGTGTGTGTGTGTGTGTGTGTGTATCGCCTGCAGTATTGCAGGGTCTCCCTGTAGCCACAGCTGTCCTGGATTGGCTATGAGACCAGGATAGCCTTAATCTCACAGAGATCCACCTGCCTCTCCCTCCTGAGTGCTGGGATTAAAGGCGTGTGCCACCACGCCCGGCCATCATCTCAAATACCTTAAAAGATTTTTTTTTTTCCTAAGTAATATGGGTCCAGAAGAGTCCAATGATTTTTTTTTTTAAAAAGGATTCATTTTTTTTTTAAAAGATAAAAATGGAAGATGAGAAATGTGGGGAAAGAAACAAGTTGCTGAATTTACATTTTGAATTGTGAGGGGTGGAGAGGGCACTGCCAGGGAGAGGTGACCCTACTCTGCCAATACCTCTGATCTCACAACTTGGATACCCTCAAACTTGGGTTGTATCACCAGGTAACAAAGAACGAAGTCATGACTACAAGAGACCAAATTCAAAGCTTCTTTCTCCTGGCTGGGTGGGTGTTTACCTGTGCAAATGTAGGAAACCACTCCCCACTGACATAAGGTGCCTGTCTGTGGATACCATCCATACACGTGCTCCAAAGTGATGCTCAGTCCCAAGGGCCCCATCACTCAGCCTTTGGTGCCCTAAGTCTCCGGTCGGCCCCCAAACCTGTCATTTCTCCACTTTCTTGGCTTTCTTGAGGATGTCGCACTTTTTCCTGTTGGGGCGGCGACACCGCTCATCAATGCTGGGGATACATTCATAGTGCCATACCTCCTCCATCTTCTCCACGGGGTAGACAGCTTCCACATAATGGCGGATGAGCCTCAGCCGCGTGGGGTCCAGCTGCTTCTTGTTGCAAGCCCCGGAGTGGTTGTACTGTAGTCGAAGGTTCTCCGCGGTGAAGAGTTCGGGAAAGAGCCTAACCAGGAGGCGGGCAGCGAAGTTGCCCACAGACAGGCTCTGCTGCACGATCTCGCGTACCTCCTTGTCCGACAGCAAGTAGGGGGAAGGCACAGGAAAGTCGGGCGAGGGGACCACTAGCTCGTCCAGGGGGATCTTGCAGAAGTCCTTGCTGCTCCTTTCAGGAGGCAACGGGGGCCCTTCAAACTCCTCTCGGAACCTCTCAGGGTTGATTGCATAGCTTGTCAGATCCCGGCACTCAGGGCCCGGCACATGGACCTTGCGCTGCTGCTGGTAGGAGCGCCTCTGTTCTGTGTCCCGGCGCCGGCAGCGCTCATCCAGCTTGCCCACGAACTCCAGCGTCCACACGCGGTCATTCTTAGCCCGCGGGTAGAGCAGCTGTACGTAGTGACGGATCAGCCTGATGCGGGAAGGGTCCAACTGCTTCTTGCCCAGGGAGCCACTACAGTTGTACTGCTTGCGCAGGTTCTCGTGGGTGAAGAGCTCAGGGAAGAGGTGCACCAGCAGGCGGGAGGCAAAGTTGCCAATGGACAGGCTGCTCTCGTAGATGCTGCGCAGCTGCTCCTTGCTGAGCAGGCAGTCAGAGCCTGGCACTTCAAAGTCAGGCTGTGGGATGTCCAGCTTGTCAAAGTCGATGGGCACCAGCCAGATCTTCTTAGAGCGCCGGCCGGGTCGGTCGCCTTCGAAGCTGTCCTCTACCTTGACCACGGAGATGTCATCGGGCAGGCTGGAGGAGTCATAGCAGTCGTCGCGTGGGGGCTCACCCTCGCTGCCCGCCTCCAGCCCCAGGCCCTCCAGCTCGTCATTGATGCGCTGAGCACACTGCTGCACCCAGGCCTCCTCCTCCTGCATGTCAGGGAAGTAGATCTCGGTATAGTTGCGGATGATCTGCAGTCTCTGTGGGTCCAGCTCCTGCTTGCCCCCATCACCATAGCAGTTGTACTGCTCACCCAGCTTCCGATGGTCAAAGAGCTCCGGGAAGAGCCGGTGGAGAAGGAACACGGCAAATTCACCCGGGGAGGAGGCTTCGTCTAGAAACTCAGTGAGGTCCTGCGTGTCCACCACATGGTCTGAGGCAATGGTGCTGCTACGGTCCAGAGACAGGGCCTCCTCTTGGTCCTTGTCCAAGAAGTTGCCAGCATCCACTTGGTCTGCTTCAAAGAAGCTGGTGACCTGGCCTGCAGGCTGGCTGTCTTCCATTTCCCGCTGGGCCCAAAAGCGGCTGAAGAAGTCATTGAGTTGTGGCAAGCACTCAGCCTGCCACACGGCTGTGTCCTTCACAGAGGGGTAGTAGACCTCCACGTAGTTTCGGATGAGCTGGAGGTGCAGCGACTCTAGCTTCCGCTTGGCAGCAAAGCCACAGGCAGTACAGCCCCGGGAAAAGTCCACATCGCTGAAAAGCTCGGGGAAGAGCTGCACCAGCAAGCGGCAGGCCAGGTCCCCGCAGGACAGGCTCTGCTCCACGATCTGCTTGAGCTCTGCAGCAGTGAGCTGGTACTCAGGAGGAGGCTGGAACTTGGCCACCAGCTCAGAGGGGCTCACCTGCTTCTTGATGCGACTCACCTCCAGGGAGAGCAGGTCCACCTTGCTGTGGAGCTGGGACATGTTGGATGTGAGCGTGTTGAGCATGTAGAACATCTTCTGGATCAGGAAGTAGATATTGGGGTCACCATCAGAGGCTGCCCCAGCACCACATTCCCGCTTCTGAGACTCATTCAGCAGGCGCAGGGGAGAGGGACTATTGCTTGGGTTTGCCTTCTCAAAGAGCTCATAGGGGCTGAGCATGTCTCCTGGGGGAGGGTTCTTCTTCTCCATGATCTTGTGGGAGATGCCATAGAGAGGCTTCTTGTAGGAAGGGGCAGTGGTGTCGCTGGGGGGCTCCTCTTCACCAGGCCACACAGAGCTCCCGCTCCGGCCTCTGCTGGCCTGCTCTCCATTGCCTTGGCAGGGCGAGCTGTTCTCACGATTACGCATACCTGCCAGAAGTGCCTAGAAAACAGAAATCATTTTGCAAAGTTAGATGGCTGCTCTGATCTACTACACTAGACTGGGTTGGGACAGCACAAAAGACCCGAGGTCAACTCCCTGGTCAAACCACTCTGCCAATCTAGGAACACACAAGCATTACAGTGGCATCCCAGTGCCAACCTGTTCCTCCCTACTTCCTGGGCTCAAGCTGGACCCAGGAAGGCTCCCACTTTTAGAGGACAATTATGCCAGATTCCTGCCCACAGGCCTAACTGGAGGCCAAGCACAGATGCTGACAAGGCTGGACAAGAACTCCTAGGGACAGGAGGGAGACCACGAGAATATGAAGAGATCCTATAACTGCCCAGCTACCTCCCTGGCCCACACTTCATTCTGTTCTCAGACAGAGATTCCTGCCTATGGTGGCTTCAGCTTCTGGGAGAGAGTTTTTCTGAGATATACAGTGGCAGGAACAAAACTGGAATCTGGAAAACAGCAGTTGGCTGGCAAGTCTATGGCTGCAGGGACTCGCTCTTGCTTCAAGTTAGACAAGGCAGGGCCACTTCACAGAGCCCACATGGCGATTCCATCAGTGACTCTAAGTTTCAGTATAGCCACTGGCACAGCAGTACTCCATGGCTAGAACTCCAGGAGCTATCCCATCTATATACAAAAGTAACTCAAAATAGATTCTTACAGATGTTTTGGTGTCCATGGAGCTGGCTAGTACTTGCTTTATGGTGGCTTTGTAGAGGCTAAAACACAGCCAGTGGCATCTATTCCTTGTAGCTCTTCTACACACATACCTTACTTCCTGAGAGCAGAGGGCTAGGGAGATACTTGGATGGAGGGAGTGGGCCACAGGTGCTCTGCCACCTGTTCAACTGTTCTGATCCTTCCTGGGAGATTCCTCCCCATTCTCATCCTGCCAAATGATGGGAGCGTGTCACTTCCATTCTATCCCAACACCAGTGACTAGAGAGGAACAGTCATGGATACCTGGCAACCACACACTGGTGATTGAAGTAGGGCAAATGTTCTACCACTCTCCAATTTCTGCCTAAGAAAAAGACCAGTGGGAGCAGGGGGAGGGGGAAGGGGGATTGTGGTAGAGGGCTTGCCTCAGGACCTTGGGTTCCATTCTCAGTACTGGGAAAACCGAAAAACAAACCACAACAAAAAATTGGCTTCATGAATCCACAAGAACAGAGGGGTATGAAAGTATGTACAAGAGCTCAGCCACCTATCAGGGCCTCCTGTGTGGCCTTCCATGCTTCAGCTTCCTATGTCCCACAGCAAGGTAGTTTTGAGACATGAGATAATTCATAACAAGCACAGAGCCTAAGGTCACATCACGTAAGTATTTTAACAAATATTTATTACAATAGAATTATTATGAAACAACGCAATTTCAAAGCACAGCAGAGGCAATGCTGTGGGGCCTTTTTTAAGTTGTCATGATGACCCTCGAGCACTGGAGGACTTTTCCAGTGCACTGTAGGAAAAGGCACTCAGGGAAGGCACTTCTCAGAGGGGTGTGGGCAGGGTAGAATAATACAGAATGATTGAGCTGAAGGGGGATTATAAATACTTTGCAGTTATTTGGCAGAAAGACAGGAAGGTCTTACACATACACACACACACACACACACACGCACACACACACACACACACACACACACACACACACACACACAGCCTCACACATACTAGGCCTCAAACAGAGACCAGAATGTTCTACCACCAAGCTATACCCCAGTTTCCCCCCTCTTGAGACAAGGTCTCCTTGTAGCCCCAGCTTGCCTGGAACTTACAATGTAGACCAGGCTGGCCTCGATTTCTCAGAGATCCACCTGCCCCTGCCTCTTGAATACTGGAATTAAAGGTGTGCGCCACATCAGGCATCCCAGCCCTTTTTTAGGATGAGAAATTTATGTTTACTTATTATGGAAGGGACCAAACCCATTAGCTATGTAGCCCAGGCTAGCCTCAAATTTGTAACTCTCATGAATTGGCCTCCCAGAGTGCTGGGATTACAGGAGTACGCCAGCACACCAAACTTAGAAGGGTTATTTTTCAAAAAGAAAAGAAGCCAGCCATTTGTGTGGCATATGGTGACGCTTGCCTCTATTCCAACTCAGGAGGTGAAGTAAAAAGATTACATGAGCCCAGCAACTCTAGATCAGACTTGGCAACATAAAGTAACATGGAAATTTTTTTTTTTTTACATTTATTTAGAATGTGTGTGTGCCCAAGCCCGCAAGAGTGCACATGTATGCCACCCAAAAAAAAAAGTTTTCAAAAACATTTTATTAATTTTAGGTGTATGAGTGTATTGCCTGCATATAAGCGTACCCATGTAATGCAATGCTCTGGAACTAGAGTTACAAACAGTAGTTAGACACCATGTGGGTGCTGGGAGCTGAATGCAGGTCCTGCAAGAGCAGTCAATGCTCCTTAACTGCTGAGCCATCTCTCCAGCACACTCAAAGTTTTTAAATGAATAAAAAAATAGAGCTGATGGGGGCTGGAGAGATGGCTCAGGGTTTAAGAGCACTGGCTGCTCTTACAGAGGACTGGGTTCAATTTTCAGCACCCACGTGACAGCTAACAACTGTCCATAACTCCAGTTCCAGAGGATCCAAAGCCACCTTCTGACCTCCGGGGGCACAGCACGACATGGGTACACTTACACTCATACAATACACTCATACATATAAAATAAAATAATAATAAATAAAAGATAAAATGCTTGCCTAACATGCAGAAAGCCTTAGGTTGGACGCCGGCATCATATAGAACTGGACATCACAGTGCATATCTGTAATATCAGCACTTGGGAGGCTGAGGCAAGAGGATCAGAAAGAAATTGAAGGTCATCTTTTACTGTAAAGTTGAAGGCCAACCAGGACTAAAGCAGACTCATCTAAAAAAACAGAAGAGCAGGACGTGGCAGCACATGCCTTTAGTCCCAGCACCTGAGGGGCAGAGGTAGGCGGATCTCTGTGAGTTCAAGAAACCCTGTCTAAGACCAAAAAAAAAAAGACAGAATTACACATGCACACACCAGAAACCGCAAAAAGACAGGGTGGGCAGAGTTAAGAATCTTTACTGCTAATGTCGGGCTTTTTGAATTATGGGTTAGTATATGATGAAACTGATTCAGTGGATCATAACCAGAGTAAGAAAAAAGGGAAAGAAAAGAGAAGTAAAAGATTTTAAAATGGAAGAAAAGACGAAAAAAGAAGAGAAAATTAGACTATGGCACAAAGTAAATTCAGGAAGTTTTGCCTCATTTCTATGTGCTTATGTATTTACATTAGAGTACATACATGTGCACAGCATTGCTCTATACAGTAGGTTTGTAACTGTGGATCACCAATGAAAAGCACTGTCCTAGCAAACTCTAAGATTGAATTTTTAGCAATTTTATGTATAAGTTCTATTGCATCAAAATAATGAGGGGGCTGGAGATGGGTCAGTAGCTAAGAGCACATACTTCTCTTGCAGAGGATCCAAGTTTAGTTCTCTGGACTTCAAGGGCACTTGCACTAATGTGTACATACCCACACATAGATACACACATATACACATAATTTAAAAATAATAAAAATCTTGCCAGGTGTGGTGGCGCATGCCTGTAGTCCCAGCACTTGGGAGGCAGAGGCAGGTGGATCTCTGTGAGTTCAAGGCCAGCCTGGTCTACATAGTGAGTTCCAGGACAGCTGGGGCTACAGGGAGACGCTGCTTCAAAAAGACAAAAAAAATGAATAAATTAAAAAAAAATCAATATATATATAAAATTTTGGAGATTCCATAGATCATGAAATTAATATTAGCTTATGCCAATAATGAGAAATTTGAGTTTGAAATAGCAAGAATTAACAATCATAGCCACTGTAGGAGTTATTTTTTTGTAAACCAGGCTGGCCTAGAACTCAAAGAGATCTGCCTGCCTCCCCCTCTCAAATGCGGGGAATGTGCCACCAAGCCCAGTGGTAGTGGAAATTGTTTAAAAAGCAGTATTTTCTTTACAAGAGGTTCCATTGGTACATTTGAAACAAGACTTTATGTAGAAGGAGGTCATTAGAAAAAAATCACATCCAGCCAGGCGTGGTGGCACATACCTTCCTTTAATCCCAGCAATCTGGAGGCAAAGGCAGGGGAACTCTGTGAGTTCAAGGCCGGCCTAATCTACAGAGTGTGTTCCAGGCCAGCTGGAGCTACAGGGAGACCCTGCCTCAAAATTTTAAAAAAGAAAAGAACAGAACAGAACAGAATATACTATGCAATGAGTGCTCTAGAGGGAGACCTGCCCTAATACACAATGCAGAAGAGTACAGGTTAAAGTTTGTAGGGGCGTAGTGGACTGATGGAACACTAACCACAGATCAAGTCTCTGGACTCCCCCACTTTCCTAGAGCAGGCAGGAGGGGATACCCAGCTGAAAATCCCTTCCATGATTCTCAAAACTCAGTCTCATTAACATAAATACTCTTGTCCCCCACCAGTATGTTAGAAACACTTCTATCAATGGAAACACTCTTTACTAAAATGCTTGAATAAAATGTAAGAATCCCAGTAGAGGGCAATATTCTTCACTCCCACAAGTCTTGAATATACAATTCAACATAAAAACACAAGCACCAAAGAGAAGGTTCTTAGATATCCCTATACTGTGTCCTGTCAACCAGGTGCTTCAATTAATTCCACGAATGCTGCCAAGGTGTCGATGAGCTGGCTGCATTCATTGTCCATGATCAAATCTCTGCTCTGCTGTCTAGGAATATCAAGAAATCTTTAAATCTGTGCAACTTGGCATGGGTGTCTGGCTGACACAGTTCCCAATTCTCCCAGGCGCATTTTCCAACCATGTGGGAACTCTGCGGCATGTCATGGCTTGGGCTTTGGTGTCAGCAACTAGCCCAGATCTTGATGGCCATTTCATTCTACCACAAGCACCTGTAGAGGAAATGCCTGACTCTCTGGGCTAGAGAACGGGGCTGAATGAAAAGAAGTTG